AAAAAAGAAAAAAAAGATGACATGCCATTCATCAAGATGTTTTCTTTCCTGTTGCGTAAGGGGCAAACTGCTGTTATAGCCTTTCTCTTTGTTTTTTTCTGTTTTTTTCCCCGTTTTTTGGGTTCCTTTTCCTATCACATTTAAGGTCAAAACAGAAGTGAATGTTATTTGCAGATAGGACAGCATAGTGATCAAATTTTCCATCGCTAAATCAGAAAACTTTGCCAATAAATGTTCCAAATTATGGAACGAAAAATTGTCAGATAGTTGCATATGAAAGGTTTATTGTAAGATATCTATTTGAGGACATCAAACAGCGTGTCTGATCCATCATTGTTATCGCAATCAGTCTGTCATACATAACCCGCCGGGCTAAGTCATTCAATTAAAAATGATAAAAATTTGAGTTACCTATATATATAACCATAATGTTAGTACTATAAATAGCGTAGTCACTCTAAGCATTTCATCCACAACATTCAAAAAGAGACATTAGATTCAACAGAAAAATTCAGCTACTGAAAGATGGCTTTGATATGCAATTGGAAGCTTGCTTTTGTAGCTCTACTAGTGTTAGGAATGTGGGCTTCTCAAACCACATCTCGTGACTTGAACGAAGCATCAATGGTCCAGAAACACGAGTACTGGATGGCTCGCTTTGGACGTGTGTACAGAGATGATGCAGAGAAGGCAAAGAGGTTAAAAATATTCAAGAACAACGTTGATTACATTGAGTCAGTCAACAAGGCAGGAATCAGGCCTTATAAGTTGGGCATCAACGAATTTGCAGATTTAACAAATGAGGAATTTAGAGCGACTCACAACGGATACAAAATGTCTTCTCATCAGAAGTCATCAAAAACCATATCATTCAGGTATGAAAATGTGACTGCTCCCGCCACCATAGATTGGAGAACGAAGGGCGCTGTTACTGGAGTTAAGGACCAAGGGCAGTGTGGTAAGTCAAGTAATTTGGTCATGTAAATAATAACATTTTCTTTAATGTATATGCTACAGAAGAAAATCTTATTAAGCTGATAATGTAGGATGTTGTTGGGCATTTTCTGCTGTTGCTGCTACTGAGGGGATCAACAAGATCAAAACAGGTAAGTTAATATCTTTATCTGAGCAAGAACTCGTGGATTGCGATACAAGTTCTGATATGGGATGTGAGGGAGGTCTTATGGATGATGCTTTTACGTTCATCATCAAGAACCATGGACTTACTACCGAATCAAATTATCCATACGAGGGGACCGATGGCACTTGCAAAACTAGAAAGGAATCCAACCATGTTTCCAAGATTACTGGCTATGAAGATGTTCCAGCCAACAGTGAATCTGCTCTGTTGAGTGCAGTTGCTAACCAACCTGTATCCGTTGCCATTGATGCTAGTGGATCAGATTTTCAGTTCTACTCTAGCGGTGTTTTTACTGGAGAATGTGGAACTGAGTTAGATCATGGTGTTACAGCAATCGGATATGGGAAAACTAGTGACGGGACAAAGTATTGGTTAGTGAAGAACTCGTGGGGGACTAGTTGGGGAGAGAACGGTTATATTAGAATGCAAAGAGATATTGATGCTGCAGAAGGAACTTGTGGAATTGCTATGCAAGCTTCTTATCCAACTGCTTAAATAGCTGAGAAGCTTTGGTGCATGGGAATTTGTTGTTATCACCTTGTTCATATTTTATGTGGTGTGTCTACTGTGTATATATGCTACAAACTCCTTGTATGTACATAAGTGTTAAACAAAACTTTCTATGTGAAAAGATTGGTAATGTGAGTGAATGATAAAAAAAATGCTTCCCTTATTAAAGACTTAGATTCCATAAACACGAGATTCCACTATTCAATCTTTGATTCTTAGGTTTCTCTGTCGTAGATTCCACAAGTTCTTTTAACCCGTTTCTATCAAAATAAGTAATTTTTGTATGAACCCAAAAACCAACTAGCAGTAAGTAATGTCGGAGAAACATTAGAGGAGAGAACAATTTGTTTTTGAGAAAACTCTAATTCCCAACTTGTTTGCCTCAAAATGACAAGCACAACGAGGTATATATAATTGTCAAGAGAGACTTCTACACTAACTTGTAGGCTCTAGTTAATTGAATTTTAGAAATGATCTAAATATCTATCATGATAATGCTTAAGTTAATCTAGAAGAATCAAAATCCTGCATTTGCAAGTACTCGTCATAGACAAACACAAAAGAGAAGGTCCAATCCAAATATTAAGCAACTAATTGGATAGCAGTGTCTAATTATTGTGATATAAAATAGCGCATGTATTAGTCACATGCCTAGCTATTAGTTCTGTTATGTGACAGCTGTTAGTGAGCTGTCCAGTAGTTAGTTGGTTAAGTTAAATTAGTTAGCTAGCTAGGTGTATAAATGTACCGACTCTATCTTCAATAGAACAATGAATTCATTTCCTCTTTCAGCCAACTCCCACTCTAAACTTCCGCCATTGTTGCACCTTCAGAATCTCTTTCATTTTAGCATGGTATCAGAGTGGGAGATACTGGAATCTCACACTGTGACACTCTCAAACTGATTGCTGGCCTAAATATATCAATTTCGTTAAATCAATTACTGCTATTGACACGATAATGGGAGAAAATATAATTGACCACACATATCCCCTGTTTATGGGTCCTTCCTTCGAGCCCTGTATCGATTCCGATAAAGCTCATTGGGTCAGAAAACTATAGTTTATGGAGCAGGTCAATGAGGATTGCAATTTTGGGGAAGGGGAAGCTAGGGTTTGTGACCGGCACATGCAAAAAGGAATCCTACAAGACAACTGATTTACAGGAACAATATGAGACCTGATTGTTATTATTTTGTCATGGATCATGAACAATGTATGTGAGTGTAATACCCCAGACTTTAGACATAGTCCCATATCGGCAAAACATAAGATGGATGCCGGGTATATAAGTTAACAAACCTTAGACCCTAGTGACACATTTTAAACCTGCGAGGGCCTAGGACCTGTGCGGACAATATCACTAGTGGCCTAGGCCGTTACAGATTGTATCAGAGCCACTCTTATGTCAATCGATAGTTGGTCAGATTTTGTCCCAAAGAACAAGCAGGGTACAAGGAACTCTGACAACTGGAGAAATTCTGGTAATGGGTATTCAAATCATGGTGGAGGAGGGCCAGATAACTAGAAGAAAGAATCTTTAGAAGTTGTGAACCAAGCAGATGTTGGATCATGCTCTCAAGTAGCTGGACATGAATAGACAACAACTAAGAATAAGGGATACTACTTCACTGATGCACAGTATAATCAAATTCTGAATTTACAAAACAAAGATTCTAGTGAACATCATGCTAATATGGCAGGTAATGTCACTTGCTTAATGTCCGATTCCAACCAGAAAGAAGAGGAATGGATTGTTGACTCAGGAGCAACTCATTATATTGCCTTTAAATTAGAGCTGTTAACTAATACTAGAGCTACAGACAAATCTAACCATGATAGAGTACATTTGTATGTAGGAGGAAGGGTTGATATCACACATACTGGTAGTGCACATTTGTTGGATAAAGAAACAGTGAGAAATGTCCTTTTTGTACCTCATT